CAATTGTCACACGCAATTTTTTATCATAACTTATTTATAGAGTAGAAGTCAAACTTATAGAAGGAATCAAATCTCTATCTCCTATTTGAATTTCGAACAAAAAATTCTCCTCTCTCTTATCTCCTTATGGTTGGCCAACCCTAAGGTTTCCTATCCCTGTGTGTGGTGTCAATTGCAGATAGGGAAGGAAGAGAAAATCATCCTTTATCCTGTAGTCCAATTTTAATTCAAATTCGAATTTAAGTCAAACTTAAATTAATTTGAATTCTAAATTGAACAACTTATCAAATAAGTTTAAAAGGATAAATTTAAATTATGTTCATGATTCAAATTCAAATTTAAATAATCACATTATTTAAATAATAATTAATTCTCAATTAATTATTTTCGAGTATTTAATTTTAGAATTCCATAATTCTAAAATTCCCATTTTGCCCTTTTGTGTCAGGTAGAATTACAAGGACGAAGCGGGGACTAATGGACCTATAATTCTGAGCTCTAATAAAATTAATAATTAATTAAACACTTTAATTAATTAATTAATTCTATTAATTCCAATAGTTACTCCACTATAAACTTGGAATTGAACTCTCGAAATTATAGACATTAATTACTTCTAAACTGTGAAGTGTCCATTTGATATAGTCATTGCATATAGATCAATCCTCCTTGAGTATCATTGATTCTCTAATGGATAGTGATTCATAAAACACATTCATGAACCAGAGCGCTCTTACTAATCTAAGTACCGAATCAACACTCAAGAGAATTATTTATCTACTTCTTTCTCAAGAAGGAGTGGATTCCATCTCGTATAATAACATTCCCGGCTACCTATTTCATCATGTCTCCAAAATACAAGGAATAGGATTCAGGGTCTCGGAATCCATACCGAATAAATCAAAAGACACAAATCCATAAATAGGAGTTTGTTAAGAACTCAGGATTAAGATCATTCTATATATGACCATCGGTAGACTCAATTAGAATTTCTATGCTTAACGGAAATTATTAGAAATTCATATTGTGTCCCTGTTCCACACAATCTCATTATGTGAAATACACTCATTCAATATCTCACCATATTAACAGTGCGGATAGCACCGTTCCATTCTAAATGGGAATGACATGTATTAATAATGTTTTATTAAAGATTCTGAACTTTAATTAAATTCATTATGAACAACGTTTTTTATTATTATCCTTAAACATTATCCTCTTGTATACAACACTTATATACAATGTTTAAGGTTACATAAATAATCATAGAATTTTCATTTGATATTCATAAAATATTCATAAATATATGCACATAAAATGATGAATAAACTATTTTATTAATTAAATAATAAATATCATATTACATATCATGCTTCTAGGACACCATCCCAACACTAAGTTCTCCCGAGTCAAAAGGGTTTTGATGTGGCGCTCATCCTCTGAATAGTTGAAGGCTGTCTTAATCCGAGCGAGCCTGCTACCAGCGAGCTGGGGGCGATCTTGGGAAACTGCACGAAAGAAATTAGGGTCAGCGGTGTAATAACCTGACGGCGATAGGAAAAGCAGTCGAAGGTACATACTTAGCATCCCGATGGACCTTTTCACCCCTTTTCGTTTAAAGGGCTTGTCCTCGGGGTACACATCGAACATGCCTTTAACTAGGAAGAACATGGGCTTCCATCCGTGAGATGACGATGGCAATCCCATTATTAACCTTCCAAATTTGGGCTCTGACCGCCCATAACTACCCAAGAAATACCATTCCTCGCATCTAGGGACTTGGCAGAGCTTATATACAAAAAGGAATTCGTCCAAAGGTAACTTTACGTCAAACCTTTTGTCCCAAAGTATCCACGTGCTGGCGAAAATATACCAAAAATTTGGTGCCAGTTGAGTGGGGGAGATGCCGCGAAGGTCGCAAAAGTCCTTCACAAATGGATGAATGGGGAGAGTCATCCCTGTAGTAATGGCCCGGGTATATTCAGATAGATACCCTGGGGGAGGCTGACTCGCCCTATGATGGGGGTCTGACAGGAGGAATTCAAACCAGCGACCATCCACGCGCCCCTTCTGGTACGCGTGGACGATGTCCCTATCATAGGTCTTTGGCTCCACAAAGTCGGTCATAAACCACGGCCGATCCTCGTCTGGCCCCACGGACGCGACCAGAACATTTGTATCCCGGTCGCTGATCCCAACGACGGAGTCCCCGATCAGGGAACCACCATAAGAGGAAGCTTCGGTGGCATGTCCTTCATCACTATCGTTAATCATCCGGTCCACACTGTCTTCGTTATCCCTCGAGTCTGGGATGTAGTCTTCGACATCCCTTAAGAGAGGGTCGCTGGCAGTATGAATAGAGGAAGACTCCGCAGCCGGAGACGGATCCGGCCTGACGACAGGTACTCCCCCTCAACATAGCCTTCTTCTAGGTGCCATTACTGTGAAGAAAGAACCTAAGGTTAGTCCTATAAGTCGAGGGGAAGGAAAATTAGAGCTAGGAACTGAGACGACGACCATTCAACTAAGGCGTCGACTATTCAACTAAGGCATCGACTATTCAACTAAGACGCCGACCATTCAAGCGCGACGGTGACTGTTCAAGCTAAGTTCAGAATATTAAACAAACCCAAAACTGCTCAAAGTCCCAGTGGCTACTCTAAAACTGCGAATAAAGGTCAGAACAGTTCCTAATACTCCTATTATACCAGTTTTTAGTCATTTCCCCTTATTCGAAGGATCTACCAGAAGCCAAGATAGATTAAAGGCGGTAAAAGCAAGAGGTGTAGACAGGAAATCCTTACCAAGAGTTTAGAAGCGAGATGAAGGCACGGGCTCTGGGAGAAATATCACCGAAGAACGCAGCGAGTCCTGGGAGAATTTGCGCAAAGTTTCGGCAAGACAGAGGAAGTTTGGAAAGTTTTGGCCTACCGAGCGCTTATAAACATGACAACCTTCAATCCCCAATCACTCGATCGTGCGCAAGTATATCCAATGGCAAGGGCATAAGGCCTTGATCCTACGATTAAGGAAAGAGCGGGAAGCGGAAAGGAACCTAATCCAAGGGCCCACATTCATCCAGTTTGAAAAAAGGCCTACATCAGCGTGGTAGTTGGACCGACGCGACATTTGCACTTCTCAAGGTAACAGGGTCATCATGACAACAGGTTCAAAGTTGGGATTCTGTGCCCGAAGCAGACGAAAGGAAGCACCAGTGCAAAGTCCTAACCTAGCTCGAGGTAGTCTAAAGGAAAGCCTCGACCTGGGGGGCAGATGTTGTGCGGGAAAATATGCTTTGACATGTCAGACAACAACAGCGCTCCACGTGGTCCTGCAATAACCACATCGGCCAAACCGTCGACCCGTCATACTGCCGACCTAATAAGACCTTGGCGTTTACCCAACTCACCCACATCAGGGGTCTCGTTAAGGTCGACCGTGTAAAGGGCGGCGCCTAGCCCAGTTCTCATCTGGGCTCATGAAGCCGACCGTATATACATAAGGCCAGCTGGAAGCCGACCGTATAAACGTGGGACCCCCTAAGGAAACGTGTACGCTTGGAAGAAGTCTGTAATGCAGGCATTAATTACGAGTACTTAAACCATCCATAACTGGACGGTGGAGGGTTACAGGGAGTGCAGAGCCGTAATGGATGACTAATTAGATGAATGAACAATCCAAAAGGCAATTAGCTGGCTATGGGTCTAGGCTCATAGGATGGTAGGCACTCGAGTGGAGGTCTATAGAGAGGTCTACAGAGGAAAACCGCCCATGAAGTAAACTTGGGCAATAAAAGAGGGGCAAAGCCCTAAGCTCGAAAGGTTCTTCTTTTCTTTTACACATGTAATTAGAGAACAGAAAATACATACAACGAAACAGTAGATATAGCTCTTGATTAACAGAGTGAACCACTATAAACCCTGTGTGTCTTCACATTTGAGTATCGTTTTTCGTGTTATTCTCCACCGTAAAAGTACAACACACACTTCACAGTATCAATTACACTTCCACAATCAAATTTTGGTCGGTAACCTCACGGGATACCAAGAGGTAACCCGGCGTAACCCAATTGACGAAATTTGACCGTCAACAGGTGCTATCTCTTATGGTAAAATCAATCGTGAAATTATTACTAATTGGAAATTGTACCCAAAAAAAATCTAGGAAAATGTACCTTTTAGTAAGGGGCATACAGAGTTGTGTCTTTTCTTAAATATTACAAGATAATTTTAATTTTAAGATAATCACATGAAACAAAAAAGAAGTGAATTAAAACAAGATTGAGGGTACATTGATCCTAGGCCATTGTTCAGGAAGAAAATGATATTAAAGGCAACAACGTCATTTTTTCTCATAACTTGAGTTATTGCACGCGCTTCTCTACGCTAGTAATTTTTTTATTGAGTACGTCTATTGACACTCTTTATTCTACTTTTCACATAATATGTCAGTATACTTGTTTAACAACACATGATTCAGAAAAAAATCGTTGAAAGAATAGATGGAAACACGTCACTAGCCTTGTGGGTTAACTTTAAATAATTCTTCTTTATTTAAGCCTTATTTTTTTTGGCTAATGTTTATATATATATTTTTTTTGCTAATGTTTATTTATTTATTTTATTTGTCATAAAAAAAGCAACTCTTTAGTTCCAACCTTTTAAGAATAGTCTAAAAGTGATACAACACCTGACTAACTATAAGGTAAACAGTTTGTAACCCCACCACAAGTTTTAAAAAAAAAAAAAAATCTAAAATGGATCATCTTCCTGCTTTCTTAACGCTTCAATTTTCTAAAAACAGCCGATTAATCTGACCGACTAATAAAGAAGAAAAAACAAATTTGCTACCTAATAAATCTTACAACTTGAGAACGCAATATCTCAAAGTATCCAAATCTGTTTCGAATTGCGTAACAGGCAAATATCTACAGCGTTACAAACTTACAAGCAAATATAAGAAAAATCTAACCTTTTCATCAATATTATCACCACCATTCAAAAACGATAGTGTACTAATATTGTCTCAAAGTCCGTCCAAGTTCAATTAAAATCCCAAGTCTACAAGAAATCAAACTAACTCCAACCACTAGTTTTCGATTACCACCTCTTAGAGTCTTGTTTATTTGCAAAGATCAATAATTAAATTGTAGCTAGCTAATATATTATCATTCACTATTTTCGAAGCATTGAAACCAAGCCATGGGAGAAGTTGATCCAGCTTTCATCCAAGACGCCGAGCACAGGCCTAAGCTCTCCAATACCAAACCCGGCGACGGCGTCGAAGGGGTGCCACTTATCGACCTCTCACAGATAAGGGCGTCGGACGCCGATGATCATGATCCTCGAAAAAACGAGGATCTAGTGAGAGAGATAGGAAGTGCGTGTGAAGAGTGGGGATTCTTCCAGGTGATCAATCACGGTGTTGCGACGGAGACTCGGCGGAGCATTGAGTCCGCGGCGAGGGCGTTCTTCGGGCAGGCGCTGGAGGAGAAGAGGAAGGTAAGGAGGGATGAGAAGAGCCTGTTGGGTTACTACGACACTGAGTTAACCAAGAACGTTAGGGACTGGAAAGATGTGTTTGACATGGCTGCTGTGGAGCCTATCATAGTCCCTTCTACACCTGATCCTGATGACCATGATCTCCTTGAGTGGTTCAATCAATGGCCAGACTACCCTCCTGAATTCAGGTACTTTATGGCTGCCCGAACTCGTTTTATCATCGGTTTGATGCAATTAAACTGTTAGATCATATTATAAAATTAACATAAAATTAAGAAATGTAAGAATTCAAGGCAACTTCAAGAAAATCTGACAATTCATAACGGTGTTATGTCAGTAAGGTGTTTTGTTATAGAATTCTTCGTCTTTTCTTTCCTTAAAAGAGATTAAAGGAAAGAGATAATAGAGAGGAAGGAGAAAAAAAAAATCCTCTAAGAGGGTACAGAAGAATGAATTTCCAGAAATTTTGAAAATAAGCTCCCCTCAATCTCCATCTTTAGATTTGTGCCCATAAAGAGAATCATATCTCTGTTAGTTTAATTCTAAAGGAAGAAAATAGGATCATGAATTTATAGCTTAATCTTAATAGGAGAAAACAGGGTCATTCATTGCTGAACGTGTTTCAATTTTGACCGTTTATTTTAATTAATACCCTTTTGACTAATATAGTTATTTAATTAAAACGGGTATAAGAGTATAGGGTGAAAATCTAAACTCATACACTCTTAATTATACTTGTCTCTTTTTCCCATTTATAAAAAATAATATAAATCTTTAGTATTTTTATGCGCCATCGACATTTCTCCAATACATAGTTCTCTATCAAATTTCCATCAAAATATATTAAACTTGCGTACTCTTTTGTTTTAATATAACTCTGATGAACGCGGACAGGGACTCACGTCGGGGCAGGGATGGGGTCAAGGGACAAAATATTGTCCTAATGTTGTGGCAGGACGGGATGGTTTATATGCATAATATTAATTTTTTAAATATATCAGTCATTTTGCGGCTTTATTCTTGAGAAATGATTTGCATATCCTTAAAATTTAGTTTGTTTTGTGGAATATTTGACCATGGACATTTCCCCAATACATAGGTCTCTATCAAATTTCCATCAAAATATATTAAACTTGCATACTCTTTTGTTTTAATATAACTCTGATGAACGCGGACGGGGACTCACGTCGGGGCAGGGATGGGGTCAAGGGACAAAATATTGTCCTAATGTTGTGGCAGGGCGGGGTGGTTTATATGCATAATATTAATTTTTTAAATATATCAGTCATTTTGCGGCTTTATTCTTGAGAAATGATTTGCATATCCTTAAAATTTAGTTTGTTTTGTGGAATATTTGACCATGGACATTTCCCCAATACATAGGTCTCTATCAAATTTCCATCAAAATATATTAAACTTGCATACTCTTTTGTTTTAATATAACTCTGATGAACGCGGACGGGGACTCACGTCGGGGCAGGGATGGGGTCAAGGGACAAAATATTGTCCTAATGTTGTGGCAGGACAGGGATGGTTTATATGCATAATATTAATTTTTTAAATATATCAGTCATTTTGCAGCTTTATTCTTGAGAAATGATTTGCATATCCTTAAAGTTTAGTTTGTTTTGTGGAATATTTGACTTTGGTTTAAATTTATATTGAGTTTATACTTTTTTAATTGTTATAATTTTAAAATTTAAATTATATTAGATGTGGAGTGAGACACGTATGAAAAAGGTCCCTAATGAGAATCTCTAATCCCTGCTTATCTATTGGAAAATTTGTTTGTGAAAGGTATAATATTAGATTCTCTACTGAATACTTGGTCAGGGAAGCATGTGAAGAATATGCTAGAGAAACGGGGAAACTAGCTATGAAGTTGATGGAACTAATTGCACGGAGCTTAGGATTGCCAGCAAACAAGTTCAAAGACTATTTCAAAGACCAAACATCCTTTATGAGACTCAATCACTATCCACCTTGCCCCTTCCCTCACTTGGCTCTTGGTGTTGGTCGCCACAAGGATTTTGGTTGCTTAACTGTACTGGCTCAAGACGATGTTGGAGGATTGGAAGTTAGGAGAAAATCTGATGGGGAATGGATTTCTCTCAAACCCACCCCAGATGCTTATATCATCAATGTTGGTGATATCATTCAGGTAAATATCCATACCCCTTTCGAAAAAGAGTTACTAGGTTTTACCGTTGGTAACGGATAACATGTGTGACAACATAAGAGAATTCTCAAGAACTTACAAGAGTAACTAAGGGTGTTCGCGGGTCCCAACTAATATATATAGGGCGTGTAAGGGTAGGGTATGGGAGCCGGTCATGGCTCATATATAGGGTGTGTATGGGGATGAGCATGAGGGGTAAAAAAGAGAAGTAGGATAACATAAATCATTAGGATAACATAAATGACATACTTTTCTCTTTTGAAATCTGTAATTTTTTTCATTATGTTATTTATGTATGAGAAGCCAAACTTCTATAATATGTCATAATAAATATCACACGGAAGTTTTGCTTTCTTATTGAGTAAAATTGCATAATTAACAATATTTGTTTTCATTGATGTGCTTATGGACTTCAAATTTGTTGTCCCCAATTTATTATCTCCTTTGACGTCTCCTCAATCAAACGGGCAACAGATTGAAATCTTAAACATTACACACTGCCACTCTACTAGTGTTAATAGATTTTGATTGATCTTTCCTTTTCTCCCTCTCTTTTACTCCATATAAACCCTATCATTTCTCAATACTTTCAAGAAAACCATAAAGGTCATTTCTCGAGGACAACAGATTTAGACTCGATACATATTAAATTTGTTGACGCTTAAAATTCTTTTAAAATTTTGAGCTAACGAGAGTTTATTATATTACATATATTCTAATACCGTGTAAACAAATGTGTGTTGTAAATCAGGTATGGAGCAATGATAGATATGAAAGTGTGGAGCATAGAGTAAGGGAAAGATTTTCCATTCCATTCTTCCTGAACCCGGCACACTACACTGTGGTCAAGCCCTTAGAGGAGTTGATTGATGAGGATAACCCGCCCAAGTTCAGAGCATATAGTTGGGGCAAATTTCTTATTCACAGGAGCCACAGCAATTTTAAGAAACAAAATGTTGAGAATATCCAGACTTATCATTTCAGGTTGCAGTAGCAAACTGTTCTTCAGTCTAAAGTCTATATGTATGTATGTATGTATGTATGTATGTATAAGCGCATATGTCCCGGTTCCCTCAAATATATTATCCCATGTCTCGTGTAGACTGTCAGTTTTAATCTTAACGGTCATAAAGTTGGTGAAGTTTTAATTCTTCAATAGTCAAGTGATGGACTGTAGACATTCTTTTCATGTGGATTTAGAGTGTACACACATATACATATATATGTTTAGCCCATTGAAGATTATACAAGAGTGACATTGTCTCTGCATCTAGAGGTTGTAAAGATGCACAAAAATTCATTGGTCAGTGCTACTAAAACTTATCCTTTAGCATCTCTTATGAATAATGTCTTTGAAAGGCCATAAAAATAATAATAATAAAAATAAAAACATTGGATTATAGTTCAAAATTGATGCCTTCCAAATTTTCCTTGCGAATTTACAATGGAAGAGGGTGTGTCCCACAGATTCCCATACTGATGAGCAAAGTTCAAAAGACGATCTTTCTTGGTGCAATCCAACTGCTACTCAGGAGGGTGTCACTATAAGCTTTCCACACAAAAATTTGAATTGTATTCGTTAACCTAAGTTTCCAAATACATATAAAAATTGTATGATGTGGCCATCGGAATTAGTCCCCGAGGACAAAAACATCAGATTATAATGCCATTGTAGGTAGCAAGTTTAGGTACATGATTCCTTTTTTAAAAACAAAAAACAAAAAAAGCAACAACAACACCAACTATGCACATGATGTCAAAAGTTTAATACGGAGGTGTATTGTTACGATGTCCAAAGTTTAAGGGCCAAAAAAAAAAATGTCCTATAAAATGCAATGCGCCTACGCCTTTTTAAAACGACACGTCGCACAATCAAAACGGCATCGCATGCCTCGGAATCTTTTTAATCATGGAACTACAAATGGATGACTTTCAGCTAGTCACTGTCGCAAAAGACGATCCAAACTATACGCAGACATGGCAATCTCCAAATATTCGTATTATGTAACTGCATAAAGAGACGAATTTACAGCGGACTGCTAAAAACGTTGTTAGTCATTAATTGCGCAAAGAGTGAGACACAAAAACGTCCAGGTTCATTGTATCCAAAACTGATGGCCCCCACCACAATATTATCTTATACGTATACTTCAAGAGTGTATATACTGTATATATAGGCTCCGTCAGGTAAGCTAGCGGTAATACCAAAAACCATCAAGAAAACAGCCATGGGACTAGCGGCATATTTACTTATCAGGAGTAAGAAATGAGAATTAGAATTCAGAATTAATTATATATTTACTTACCTATTTATATCCTGGAATGAGAGTAAAAATGTGTGGGTTTCACACTAATTTAGAATTGAGGAATGAGATTGACACTCCTCTCATCCCCCACCAAATTACTATCCCATTCCTGATATTAAATACAAAATTATGAATTTATCCTTAATTTTTCTCTTTTATTTAACTCTCTAGGATTTATTTTCCTCTTTCTCTCTCAGCCATTTACCTTCTTCTCTTCTACCGGTTCTTCAATTTGCAGGTAGAACATAAATCATCTTTTATTTTTATTTTCAGTTTGTTTTTTTTATTTTAGATTGAACACGTTGATAATGGTTTACTTTAGTTAGTTTTGTTGTTCCTTTCCGTGTGTAAGTGCGTGTGATAATGCCTATCAAACAAATTACAACTATTCCTTCTTTTTCTTTTGCTTTTCAAGAATAATGAAGACAAATAAGAGGGACCTTGCTGTCAAGGTTTTGGACGTTGATAATGTTTTTTTTTTCTTATTTTAATTTAATTTTTTATGCCTCTTTATTTCTTTAAAATAGGTTTTGCCATTTATCAAGGTTTTACACGTTGATAATTTTTTATCCCTCTTTGATGCTCCTTTATTTTTGTTTTGCACGTTGATAATGTAAGATTAAAAAACTGAAACTATCAATAATTTTTATCCTTTTTTTATTTCTCGTGATTCTAGTACTTTAGTTTTTTTTTCTTTTTTTCTTATAATTTTATTCTTGTGTTATGCCTATTGTTGTTCATTTTTATAATATACAATGTAATACTAAATCTAATTTTATATGTTGATAATGTAGAGTAATCATGTCTAGACTTTTAGTACGAAAGAAGAGAGTGGTTGTAGTGATAAAAGAGATAGTTATGATGTTACAAATTATTATGGCTGTGTGTGCTGCTATGTGTACCTATATTTCTATTTATTATGAACAAAGGATACTAACTCCAAAGATAGTTATAAGGGTTTATCAACAATTAGGTCACTTGTATGATTTGGTTTACGAGAGTGATATCAAGTGTGGCACAATTAAGAATGGATAGAGAAACGTTTAGAAGATTATGCAAGCTTCTATGTGAGAAATGAGGTTTGACAAGCACGACAAATGAGGTTTGACAAGCACAAGAAATGTATCTGTTGAGCAGATGCTTGCAATGTTTTTGCACATCCTAGCACATCATGTTAAGAACAGGGTGATTAGTTTGAATTTTAAGAGATCCGGAAGAACGATTAGTAAATGTTTCAACGAGTGTTTAAAAATAATTATTCGGTGTCAAAAAGAATTTTGAAAAAATCCAGAACCAGTTTTGGAGAACTCAACTGACCCTATATGGAAGTGGTTAGGTATGTGTTCTCTTTTTTTATTATTTTGAAAAAAATTGTTTAAAATTATATTTGTGTTCTTAAAATTTTATGCTTCTTTTTCATAATAATGTAGAATTGTTTGGGAGAATTGGATGGAACGTATGTAAGAGTTCGTGTGCTAGAGGCAGAAAAATCAAGATATAGAACAAGAAAAAATGAGATTGCTACTAATGTCTTAGGAGTTTATTCACAAGACATGCAATTTATATATGTCCTACCAGGATGGGAAGGTTCAACGCACGATATGTGTGTGTTAAGTAAACAGCTTATTTTAACTCTGATTTCTGACTCCGATTCATGCTCACTCCGAATCTTCTCCACTCCGATTGATGTCCACTCCGATTACGAATAAGTAAACATGTCCTAGATGTAATTGATGAGGCCTTCGTACAAGCCCTTGAGGACAGACCAAAGCTTACCATAACCGAAGCCAAAGGCATACCATTGATTGACCTCTCCGGAGTCATACCATTTGTATTTGTAACACCAACTATTAAATTTTAAAAAAAGTTCCTCTAACTAAATCATTCCGCATTCTACAATTCACACACACATTTTTAAACCAACCACATTCTACTTTTTATACCTTTTTAAGATTTCAAAAGAATCCTTACAACTAAATTGTATGATTTTTCCTTGATAAAATTCAATGTAATAGTTTTCTTTTTTCAATGTTTATTTTTCCCAAATTTTTCTTCTCATAAATATATACACATGAGGATACTAATTGGAGGTTTTTGTTTCCTCCCCAATTCGAAAAATGTAATTTTGGGGTTCATTAAAACAACTTGTATACACCAGATTTGTATGTTTTTCTTAGAGCATTTCTAAAAGAGCTCTCTAAATTTTAGCTAAATTCTAACTAAAATGGCTAAAAAGTTATTTTAGCCAATAACTTCAGAGTGGGTCACTCTAACCATACTCTATGTCAAAACTAAGAATAAACTAATAAAAAGAATAAATAGGTAGCCACTTCTTGCTAGCTATATTTAGCTATTAGAAAATACTTTAGCCAAAATAACTAACCATTTAGTTAATGGTTGGAGTGGAGAAAAATTTAAAAAAAAAAACAACTAAATAATTAACTATTTTAACTAAATGACTAGCATGGTTGGAGTTACTGTTAAAGGGTTTATATAAACCATTTGTATGCATCAAGTTTATATCCTTTTTTTAAGGCATTATAGATCTAAGAATAAAAAATGGTAAATAATTTGTGTAGGAGCTTATTAACAAAAGTTTTATAGATAAGAAACAACAAGAATCTTGAAAAAAAAAAATCAATTTTTTTTGTTTACTTTTTACACTCCTTTTTCAAAATTTCAAAAGAATAAGGTTTAAAGTGTTAGTTGTTAAAGAGTTTGGGGACCATTTGTGACAATTACTATTTTTTTAATAATGGGGTGTGTAATGAGTAGTTTATTAAAAACTATTGTCCATAAAATTACTTTTATGATCGAGAAATTTAATAATATTTGAAAAAGTTGTGTGAAAAGTAGAAAAATGAGTGTTAATAAACACACAAAAAAAAAAAAAACCCCCACAAATTTTCTTTATATAAGTGCTTTTTTATGTTAGAACTCATTCCCTATTCCTCTAAAAAAAAAAAAAGTAGGGCATATAAGTGTGTGATTAGTATTTTCTACAAAATAAGAGTGTCAGAAGAGTAAAATAAGGGGCGGCACTAAACCCCTGATAACCCATTATTTTTAAATGGGGCGTGTAATAAGTATTTTTTTTTAATATTTTGTCTTAAAAAGTAATTTGATTAATGGATAATTCAGTAGTAAGAAATTTTATATAAAACAAAGAGTGTGTGAAAAATAGAAGGGTACGTTTACTGACAATCCCATTTCTACTTTTAAAGTTAAAAAAAAAAATCTTATGACTAAATCACCTCTAATTTTACTTTTTACACACACATTCTTAAACCACCCCTCAATTAAACTTATCATTTCCTTTCTTTTATGTCAATTTTGTTCTTCAAGAACAGAAAACATTTAACTAATAGGTAGCTCCTAAATGCTTAAAGGGTGAATTATGTATTTGGCAGACATTCAAAACACAGTTCTTCCGTAGATGAACTTTTTTTTTTGGCCCCATTACTTCTCTGCTTGTTATTGAGGTACAACACAATTTTTTTTTAGCATTAGACTTCTGAAAAAAGAACGATTTTTTTATATACTCAACAACTGATTTTTCTCCAATTGCCATGCCAGTGAGCTAATGCAAGCAGTTTGAAGAGGCATTTTGCTGCGTCATTGATGCAACACCATCAAACGACCGAAAGTAACAATCATGCCCTTCAGCCTGTATCTCCCGCAAGTTCTATGGAGGTAGGATTCTCTGCTTTAGATCAATATGGTATACATATTGCTCAATTGAATCAACCACCTAAATCTTGCTTATTTTACGTTGGCGTCCCTCTTCTTTTGAAAAAGTTAGGGCACAATAAATTCTGAAAGACAATTATAATTT